GAACAGATACAATAGGGTTCCATGCTCCGCTGGAGACATGGAAACGCTGCTGCTTTGCAGCTGCGTTACCCTGCTTCCTCGGGCTTGGACCCCTAATAATAATAATAATAATAATAATAAAAAACGGAACAGATACAATAGGGTTCCATGCTCCGCTGGAGACATGGAAACGCTGCTGCTTTGCAGCTGCGTTACCCTGCTTCCTCGGGCTTGGACCCCTAATAAGGGCCTCATGTATAAAGGATTGAGCAGCTTTCACACTAAAAGTTGGCGTACAGACAAATTTAGAAAAGTGCTCCACACAAAAAAAATCAGATGTATAAAACTGTGCGTATGCATGTTTCTGCACAGCTTTCCTTTATACATCTCAACGAATGTGGAACTTAGCACACCTGAGACACCTCCCCTGACACGCCTCCATTTCAATTTGTAAAATAGATGTAAATGTGTCCAGCGTGTGAGATTCTCCTCAGATTGTCCTCTCTGTGGCATCAGAAATGATTTTTAGATGCAGGAAAATTATACATTAAATGGAGAATGAGTGAGAAAACTGTCTAAATAAGTAGTGGGCTGTAAAAATGAGTTTGCCACACGCAAAGGTGTGGGTGTTGGTGTGTGTGCACGTGTGTGAAGCTGCTGTCTTCGGCGGTGCATGAGACTGACAGACATTTCCACATTTCCACGTCTTTAATAAATGACTGCAAACACAGAAGAACTTATGAGTTTGGTAGAACTTAGAAAAATATTTATTAAATAGTTGATGTGAAGAAATGAGTCGCCACAGTGTAGGATTTATATTTTAGAATCATGAAGTCTCTCATTCAGCTACATGGCTCGACTCAGAACTACAGTAAAATAGGCCTACCTGATTGTATTTTTTCGGTGTGATACAAAAAAAAACACGCTGTCCTCAATTCTTCTTGTGGTGATATCAACCTGCAGAACAGTGTACATTGATCCATAAATTATGCACAACTTTACGCAGCAACAAATCTATTGTCTGCGTCTTGTGGGGCTGAGGAATCATCACAGCTGAGCTGTTCTCCTCAGCTGTGTGTGTGCCTCCCAGCCCTGCGCTCTGCGTGTGTTTTCACCTATGTGACAACAATATAAAAACTTTACAGTTTACAGACTGGACTGAGGTTCTTTGGTCAGTTTTAGGCTGCTCTGTTCTCTTGTCTGAGGTTAAATGATTTTCAGTCCCGGGGTTCACTTTCATGATAGTAATCAAACAAAAAAAAGTCTAACCGTGTTAAGACACTTCTCACATGTAGAAAACAGATCAGAGTCATATTTCTGTGGATACTGGTCAGATTCATGACTTTGTGGGTTAAAACTGTCGACTGAAAAACCGCGTGGCTGCCTCACATTCTCACGGCAGCCACTCAATGTTGGTTTTGATACATCCCAACGTGGGCGTAGAACCTGGCACACGCAGCTTTTTTATGCGAACGCACCGTTTGTACACGAGGCCCCTGACAACATGTCCACTTTCTTTTTAAAATTGTTTGCTGAAGAATTGACCCCAGTTTGGCACCAGCTGTTTCAACTCTCAGTAGATACACAAACTGTATCAGAAATTTGGAAGAAGTCTATTATTATACCAGTTTCAAAAAAAGGCATTCCCACAAGAGGATAATGATTACAGGCCCATTGCACTCAGCTCAAATGTTTTTAAAGTAATGGAGACAGGGCCGGCTCTTGGCATAGGCGAACTAGGCAGTCACCTAGAGCACCATCTGCTGGAGGGGTTGCCGAACTGCAGAAAAAAGTTATCTGTAATCCCTGGTTGTAACTGCTCAGCGCCCCTTTCAATTAGCTTTGTCTTAAAGAACAATAATGAGGTATTACAGGAAAAATAAACTACTCCTACTACTAATCCTGCTGACATCCATTCTGACACAGTGAGGACTGAGTTTGTCAGCCGAGGACCTTATGAGGTAAAATCAGACTTATATTTTCCAAAAAGAGAGGA